GCGTGGCCAGGCGCGCCCCGGCCAGGCACGACCCGGGCCTGCCGGGGGCTCCGGACCGCCGGGGACCGTGGGTCCACCCGACGACGACGACGACTCGCCTGCCCTGTTGCGCGATGAGGTGGCTGCGGGCTCGCAGGACTCACTGTTGGACAGTGGCGGCGGCCGGGGCCGAGGAGGTGGGGGACGTCTGCCTCCTGCCTGCGTTTCCGAACACGAGCTGCGAGTGGTGTCGCCGGTCTTCCTTCAGCTGCCCAGCTACGAGGAGGTCAAATACCTGCCCACCTATGAGGAGTCCATGCGGCTGCAGCAGCTCAACCCTGCAGAGGTCGTATTGCCCGTGTCGGTGCTCGGGCATCCGCAAGGCGGTAGTGCCGGCGACCCCGACGGCGACCAGGGCCGCTTCCCGCTCATCTGAACGCCCGGAGCCTCACTGGGATCAACGGGATCGTACGAGGCTGGGGGCTGCGTGTGGCACGCAACAGCTGGTTTGTTGGCGGTCGCCCCTGGCTGCCTCTGACCATACCTAGTATCCCCGCACAACCTGTAGCCCCGCGCCTGGGTTGGGGTCAGTCCCCTCCCTCTCGCTCCCTGGGGATCCTGTGTTTTTCTATGTTTCTTTGGGCTCAAGGTTGGCAGCTCGGCGAGGGCGACGGCTTTGGACCAGCTAGCAGCTCCTTCTGGACACCCGTCCCCGCCCTCTGCCATGCCTTCCCTTGTGTTCACTGTAAGTGCCTGCTTCTCCAATCCAAAAGAACACGTTAACCTTTGGTGTGTCTAGAGACCCGCGGCTTGCTTTATGTCCGAAAAGGAAGGAGCGCAGGTACATTTCTTGCCCTCCTGCTTGGACGGGTCCCAGTCTACCCGGACTGGAAGGTGAGGCCTTTGGCTCTGGGCCACGACCAGTGACTGCTGCATGCGGGTTTGTGGAGGCAGCGCTTGGCTGTGATGGGATCCCTTTCTTGAGAAAGACCCCAGAAAACCCTTTGGTGTCTTCCTAGCCTATCAAATAGTCACTGCTGATGGCTCACAGTTAAGTGGTGGGGAGGGATATCATCATGGATGGTTTAGTTGCAGCAAGATGTAGCAACTAATTAATCCAGACTGTATTTGTAATCTGGTACCGATGAACTTTTGGTTTTTGTCAGTAAGGTGTTTGTCTTTTATTTTTATATTTATCATGCACTAAACACGTCGGGAAGGTAGTTCAACAAATTGGCAGGGTAATCACTGTTCTGTTTTAGACCCATAACCATCAAAAAGTCGCCCACAATCTGCCATTGCTTAATAAGGTGTTGGACATTATTTCATTAGAGGTGTGGGGGATGGTCAAACAGGAAATGTGACATAAAACATAAAGGATATCTTATTTTCACTATTTGAAAATAGTTTATTTTTAGTACCAAAGCATAATACATAACTTTTATAATAACTGTGTACATTGTGTAGTCTGGGTCTTAACTGTATCATGGAATTATGTGTAAAAAGGCCATTGGCACATGTATGACACACCGTGGAGCAAGATGGCTTGTCAGTATGTCCTTCTTTATGTTTTATTTAAGACATATTCTGCAACGTAATTCCAAACATAAGAAACAGAATTGTAACTTTTGTTTAAACCTGTAACTTTGTAGTAATGTGCAAAGAAGGATTTGCCCAACCTATCTTTATTAAAAATTAAGCAGTATCATTTTACTAATTCTGGAACTTCCCCTTTAAGTAATAAGACACATTTTAATGCATCATGTATAGTGTACATATGGTATCGTCAGTGTACAACGTATACATTGTGTGCCATGCAGCTATCACAGCATACCGCTAGCGTGAGAGGAAGGGGTGGAAAGGAACGCCACTTTCCCTGGAGAAGTGTGAACAGCACCAATTGTCAAGAGAGATTATTCACTGGATCTGTGAAGAAGCTGAGCAGGCCTAGAAAATCTTCAAGTGTCTGATTTGTATTTAAAAAAAAAAGATTTGATTACTTTTAACTTTTAAAGACTGATTGAAAATGTCTGATGTCCTGGGAGATTTTTTTAATGTATGAATTATAATAAAATCATGATTTGCTTTAAACTTCTCAAAGATAATGACCCTGTTATTGAAGAAAACCATCTGAAGTGCATTAAAATAGAAAAAAACACTAAAATATTTCTCTGTGTATTTTTTTTTCTTTTTCTAAAGACAGGATCTCAGTTTGTAATCCCGGCTGATCTGGGACTTTCTCGCTCAGCAATCCAGGCTGGTCTCAAACGTGCCTCAGTCTTTGATGCCCCTGCCTCCCAAGTCCTGAGATTGTAGGTGTGAGCCACCACAACTGGCTATCTTTGTACAATTTTATTTGGTGTGTGACTATAGAGTAACATATTAAAATATGAAACATGTATCTCTTGTTTAAAAGCAATTTTAAACTGAACTGACAGGCAAAAGGCATTAGGAGTTAAGATTTTACTAATTGAAAACAATACAAGATTTAATCAAACATAATTATACTGCATTATATATTTATGTTACTCAGATGTGGAAAATTTGTGTTACATGTGGCTATCCATACAATTAATACCAAAAAATGAGTTTATTTTGAGGGCATTTATATGTTAGCTAAATATATCCATGAGTGTTGTGTTTTCCAGAAAAGGTTCAGGCCTTTTCTTCTCATCAATAATAATAATTCCAAATATCACCGGTAGTTCATCTGGAATGCAGAAGTTCACATACTAGATAAACATATGTGTTACATACACATGATGTACATGGGTAATCATTAGCTGTGTAAATGCAATTTGTTATGGGAGTTCAAGGATCACAACCAAAGGGTAAATGTCTTCTCGAAATACAATGGGTTTTGAAAAGCCATTAATCGCTACATCCAGCAAATGCAAGGATGCTCCAACTGTGGAAAATGGCATTGGCAATTCTGCCAAAGGGCATAAGGTGTACTATATAAGGAAAAGGAGATTCAATTGTAAAGGCCAAAGGGATTGTGAAGGAAATGGCCTCACTCAACAGTTTAAAAGGCAATATGCTAAGTACCTTGATGTCCTTTTTTGTATATCGCTTCCCTCGAGAGGAATTAATAAACAATTCAGAACTGAAACTGATACATTATAGGCACAAATATGATGTTCAGATCTATACAATATTCCGAAATGACTTTTCATAAATTGAAAATAACTCAGACGTCCTTGTTGAGAGCAATGGGGATGTGCGTTGGATTTTGAGTAGCAAGCCTTAACCACCTCTCCAAAGTGACTCGAGAATCCCATTAGCGGTAGCACAGACAACCCTTCCTTTCATGTGGTCAATCACAGAGAAATTGTAGCACTTACTCCCTTTCAACACACTATCAAAATTAGCTGTTAAATAAACCAGTACCTTATTATTCACAAAATCATATAGAACCAGATATTATTTATATACTTTTACTTACAAAATTCACTTTTAATTTTGTCACAAAAATTACATCACGGTGGGGTTCGACACTTGGTGCGTGTCAGTAATCCAAATATACCAGCATCCCCCTGAACTTAGTTAAATGGGGTTAAATATCCCCACTGTTCTGGTATCTCATACTTCTCTCTTCTCCCTGTGTTCTTAGCTTGCTCTGAGCTGTCTCTAGAAGGCTTCTTTAGAGGCCCTTCCACAGGGTCCTCACCGCTGTGAGGGCCCAACAGCACTCGAGTTACCACTGCACCGTTTGTACCGAACTCTTACAAATCAGATTCTTTCTAGCATTTTCTTTGTTTACTCTTTGCATCTGACTTCTGTAGGGTTGTACTTTGAGCCAAGTTTTTCCTCTTTATCCATTAAAGGGCTATAAACTTTTTTCCTCTTTAATGTTTATGTCTAGCACGCTCTCTGCCACTCTGGGTAAATGGGATCTTAGTGTTTCTAGCTCTCAAGCACAATGCACCCTGCCGTCTGTCTCTTTGTTGTCCCTCACCTAGGGATGGTGGAAAGGTGGTCAACACTACTCCCAGTCTTGCTCCAAATATATGTTCTTTGCTGATTGGGGGAGAGAATTTGATCTTTGCATTTCAAAGGTCTTCATAACAAGGACCTTATTTTGCTTCCAAACTATCAAATATAGATATATGTATATTGCTTCTTCATAGACTGCTGTATCTTTTTGCTCAGTTTTTCTCAGCTTTGTGGTTTCCTTGGTGCATACTGTTTTATGTAAGTAACAGGAAACCACCTTGGCTTGCCAATAGTCTATTTGTTGCTCTGGAGAAAGGACCCCGTCCTCCTGTTATACGAAGCTTGGAGAGCTCCAAAGTAACTTGATTTAGGATGCTTGCTGTCTCTTGCGTGCCTCATCGTGTTCTCCAGAAAGCTGCTCCCAGTATCTGTCTAATTGGCCAGACTAGAAATTACCCCTGCCTGTTTTCTATGCTTCTACATGATCTTACAATTTTAATAATCTCATTAAGATTTTATCTTTTGCCTCTTTGTTGGTCATATTTAGTTCATGAGAATTAAAAGGAATTAGAACCTTCCAGATATGACCATTTGTTCTTCTATTTGTATGAGTTTTATTTTCCTTATTGACCAAAGATGTTACCAGATCAAAATTAATTTTGATTATTTTTCTAGATCTTAAAAGTGTCATCTTTTGAGTCAGGTGGTGCACGCCTTTAATCCCAGCACTCTGAAGACAGAGGACCGCACATTTCTGTGAGTTTGAGGCCAACCTAGTCTACAAGAGCTAGTTCCAAGATAGGCTCCAAAAGCTACAGGGAAACCCTGTCTCAAAAAAACAAACAAAAGAGTGTCATCCCTTAATCTATAGGCTTAACTTTGATGGAAACTCTTTGTTTAGGTTTGCTTTCTACTGCTACAATGAACACCATAACCAAAAGCGGTTTGGAGAGAAAAGGGTTTACTTGACTAGAAGGTCCTATCCAGGTCACAGTCAGTCTCTGGGGTAAGTAAGAGCAGGACCACCTGACCAGGAGTGGAACCACCCACAGTGGGATAGCAATCATTAATAAAGAAAAATGCCCCCACTGACTTGTTCAGTCAATTCGCTTGCTGAGAACAATTTTTCAATTGAGGGTCCTTCTCCCCAGATGACTGTAGTGGATGTCAAGTTGATAAAAACAAACAAACAAAGCAAGCTAGCCAGGATACTCTCCAGCAGAATGTCACATTCCTCGACACACAGGATCCAGTTAGACTAAGCTGGCTGCCAGATCTCTGCAGTGCCGTGGCAAGCCTGCCTCTCCCTTCATGCTCCACTCACCGACTTACTTCACGGTTCAATCTTCCAGCTCTTGCTCTTGGGAACTCCTCATAACATCATTATCTTTACTTAGATCTTCTTTTCTCATAGAGGCAGCCCAAGGCCCTTGCTACCATCTATCAGTCCCATATTTGTTTCTGGACATTCTCCAAGTTGCCTTTTCTTGAAAATTAATCTCCTGATTCTTTACGCTCATCTCTGTACACTGTATGAATTTACCATTTGTCTACAGATTCAGAGACATTAGCTTTCGGTTCTCTGGATTCTTCTTTTTATTTTTATTATTTTCTTTTTCATTCTTTCTTTTTCTTTCTTCCTTCCTTCCTTCCTTCCTTCCTTCCTTTCTTTCCTTTTTTGGTTTTTTTTTTTGAGACAGGGTGTCTCTGTGTAGCCCTGACTGTCTTGGAATTCGCTCTGTAGACCAAGTTGGCCTCAAACTCACTGAGATCCACCTGCCTCTGCCCGGCAAGTGCTGGTATTAAAGGTGTCCATCACCAATCAATGCCCAGCTTCTTTTTTGGTTTTTCAATACAGGACTTCTCTGTGTAACAGCCCTAGATGTCCTGGAATTCTCCTTGTAGACCAGACTGACCTCAAACTCACTGAGATCTGCCTGCCTCTGCCTCCTGAGTGCTGTGATCAAAGGCGTTCGCCACCACCAGAAAGTTTCAGATTTTTATTCCCAAGGATCACCGCTGGGGTCCAGGCTCGACAAATTCCTATGTTCCAGGGTAGAGGTGTGTGGATTAGAAATGTTAGGTAGGAGAAACAGAGATATGAAAGAAATACAGAGACACAGGATAGTACCAGGAGGGCAACTCAGTGAATACTGAACCTGCCCGTGATTATTTTCCTTACGTTTATATACCCCAATACTGAAAGTGGGGGAAGAAGGCAAAAGACTGCTTTACCATGACACAAAGGACAACCAGAACAGTCACTGGCTGCAGTACTTGAGACAACAAGCAACTCTTACTTGAGTTAAGCATTTTGATGTTTTGGACAGGATACGTAGCCAATACACCCTAGACTAAGTATCCCGTAGACAGCGAATCCCTGTGTCAAATCCATTTTAAAATGAAGGAGTAGGAATAGGAGTAAGTTCTCTGACCTTTGTTCAAGGTGGAGCCAACCCACCTCTTTGCACCACCTTAATCTTCAAAACACCAAGTAGCCACACTACAGGTCAGAGTGTGGAGTCACACCTTTGTGTGAGTAAACAACTTTGAAAGAGTAAAAAATAAGCTCAAACTCTCTGACCTTCAGTCAAGATGGAACAGGACTCACATCTGTGAGTCCCCACATATTCCTCCCATTTTATTTTATTTTATTTTATTTTATAAAGCCTGTGCTTCTGCTACAGGACAGATGAGTGTATCTGGCTTGGGGACCCATTTCCCATTTTCCAGACTTACCCATCATTGGTACATACATGTCATGTACATTCTGTCTTAGTTGCCTGGCAGCGGGGAGATCTTACCTGTCATTGACTATCATCCTCTGTAAATAAAGGGTTAAGGGAGAATGTTTCTCCAGGCACTATGCACCTCTGAGGTACCTTTCTGTCAAGGGAGTTCACCAATAACTAGATAATCATATGCAAGCAGATAACGCTTTGCGGTATACATGCTCCTGTGGCTGCAATATCTCCTAATAGAGGAGTGGAGGACTGTAGAAGGAGGGCTCACTTGTTTGTCCCGACTGCCCAGAACCAAAAATAATCACACAGAAGCTATATTAATTAGATCACTGCTTGGCTTCTTATTGGCTAACTCCTACATCTTAATTTAACCCATTTCTATTAATCTTTGTGTTGCCACATGGCAGTGGCTTAC